TTTTCTACTCGAGGTTAAGAATATGGGCTGTGTGCTGGCTTGATTTCTAAGGAAGCTTTGGGAGGCATTTGGTCAGCTTCTTTAGGAATCAGAGGGGGAGCCGTGTTAGTCTGGATCTGTAAAAAGCAACAAAGAGTCCTGTGGGACCTTATAGACTAACAGATATTGGAGCATAAGCTTTCGTGGGTGAATACCCACTTCGTCCTTTAGGAAGGAATTCGCCAGGTTAAGGACCTGATCAGGAAACACTTGGGGGAACAATGCATCTTGGAATGCTCCAATCCACATAAGAAGTCTTCCTGGAGACATGCAAGATACCATGTGGACAATGGCTTCGGCCTGTAAAGACTGAGTCATGCAGGGACATGTGACTTGCCCAGGTGACTCCAGAACTCCATCTTGGAGCTGGACTTTGCATAGGAGTGAGGAGGGGGGTCTCCACCCACAAGAGAGAGTCTATTTAAACCCATGGAGACCCCTCCATTTTGTCTTCAGGTGGCCAAAGATGGAGCCTCCCCACCCCCCAGGATACTTGGAAGAAACTGGAACAAAGGGGTGTGAGTGATTGCTGGACCCAGGCTAAAAGGAGATTAGTCTGTAAAAGGGAGCATTCTGGAACTGGTGAGGATCTTATCTGTATTCAGTGTTTGATTAGACATAGATTTGTGCATTTTATTTTGTTTTGCTTGGTGACTTCTACTTTGTTCTGTCTGTTACTACTTGGAACCACTTCAATCCTACTGTCTGTATTTAATAAAATCACTTTTTACTTATTAATTAACTCAGTATGTATTAATACCTGGGGGAGCAAACAACTGTGCTTATCTCTCTATCAGTGTTCTAGAGGGCGGACAATTTATGAGTTTGCCCTGCATAAGCTTTATACAGAGTAAAACGGATTTATCTGGGTTTAGACCCCATTGGGAGTTGGGCATCTGAGTGCTAAAGACAAGCACACTTCTGTGAGCTGTTTTCAGGTAAACTTGCAGCTTTGGGGCAAGTAATTCAGACCCTGGGTCTGTGTTGGAGCAGACTGGTGTGTTTGGCTCAAGACAGGGTGCTGGGGCCCTGAGCTGGCAGGGAAAACAGGGATAGAAGTAGTCTTGGCATATCAGGTGGCAGCTCCCAAGAGGGTTTCTGTGATCCAGTCGGTCACAGTGTACCCCAGCTTTGCCTTCGCTCCCCCACCCCCACCCCTGTACCACACACAGCGCTGAATTCAGTTACACAAAAGGGAAAGTATTTAAGAGAACAGCGATTCAAATAGAAACCAGCAGGAGAGATGGGAGCAAACGGTTCCGTACACAACATCAGAAGAGGTGTTCTCGTGAACCGAACTACCATGAAGAAAATCTGCTGTCAGATCACTGCCTAGGTGAAGGGTGCTGGGGTGTCTGCACCTCCAAATGCACCAGACTTGTGCTGTTCACCTAGGGTCCCCACCCCCACCCCGCTATTTACCTCTTCCGGTTAGTGTCTTTCTGCAGTCTCTGCCAGCTCGTCTTAGCATCTGACTTCGAATGCTAACAGACCCCTATTGTAGGACGTGCAATGCACAATGGTCCACCCTGGAGGTGACTCCCACCCAGTCTGGACTGAAGAACTGTCTCAAGCCATGCGGTCCCAGGCCCACAGGAACAGTGCTACGCCCCCAGCCTTGGACCGGTCTCTAGGAGGAGCCCGTCAGTGGGACAGACCCCCTGTGGGGGTCTCACTCTTCCTCCAGAGTCAGCTACGTGGTCTCACCACCTCCTAGACTGAGTCTCTGGGGCTCCAGCCCCCCTGCTTCGCGCTGTGAGCTCTGCCCAGTGAGTCCAACTAAGACAGACCCCGGGAGAGACGTGTCCACTCTTTAGTGACTGACGCACCCAGCCAGTGTCTGCAGTGAGACTGACAAAGTGGGAATAGTTTGTAATATTTGTATGAAGCCTGTGCGTGCCTCAGTTTCCCCATCTGCTGCATTGTTACCTGGTGCGGGGAAGGGGACTGTTTGCTCTCAGGGCAGGTGAACAGACATAGGTTTGGAACTAGCTGTCTGGGCCTTAATCCCCACATTAGTGGAGCATCTGAGAAGACACAAACAGATCCAATCGCCAAGACATTGACGCCTAGCACCCAACGACCCAGGGGATATGGACTGTCCCACCTCTCCTTAGGGAAACTGAACAATCCCCAGCTGGAGGACAAAGGACTGGGGAGGAATGAGGTGGGGATCAGAGCTGGCAGCTGGGAGGCGCCGGGACTCTCACCTGGAATCTGACAAAAGAGATCAAAGAAAATGGGTTCCCTACAGCCTGGCTGGGCGCTGGGCTGACCAGACTGGACGATGCTCCAACCGTCAGTTCTCTGGGCTACCCTAAGGGCTCCCTGTGCTGTGTCCAGGTGACGGACAGACCCGACTGTTCCAGCAGCGCTGGGTGAGGGTCACTGCAGATGCTGGGCGAGGTGCATTAATCCTTGCGGAGTGGACAGGTCTCCATCAGTGTCAGTCTCAGTGGGATTCACTGAGCAGAGCTCACGGGGTGGAGCAGGGGGGCTGCAGGCCCAGAGGTCCAGTCTCAGGAGGCGGTGGAGGAAGAGTGAGACCCCCTCGGGGTGTCTGTCCCTCTGACGGGCTCCTCCTAGAGACCGGTCCAAGGCTGGGGGCGTTGCACCGTTCCTGTGGGCCTG